CCCGTCTCGTCTCGGGGGGGCTGGCGGGCGGGGGGGCGAACACACACGACGCTCTTCCGACCTGTCCCGCCTGCTCGCTGGGGGGGGGGGGGGGAGGGGGAGGAAGGGCTATGCAGAGAAGCCCTGTGCACCCAATAAAAAAACACTCCTGAGAAGAAGTTGGACAGACAAGTTGGAAGAAGATGTCTTTTTGGCTGGAACCGAAGCAAATTTTCTGAGGAGACCTAGGGGCTCAGAGCTGGGTGTCCATGCATTTTGTGTTCTAAGTGCAGGTAAAGGCAACTGGTAAATGTGTTTTCCTTCATCTATCTCTACCTTACTATTTTGAGGTAGGGTCTTTGACTGAGCCTGGGGCCCACTGATTCTGCTAGGATGGCTAACCAGTGAGTTTTCAAGATCTTTCTTCTCTGTCCCCCACCCCCTAGCACTGAGAAGGTACAGGTGGCTGAGCCACTGTGCCCAGCTTTTGTGTGAATGCTGAGGATCCGAACTCAGTTCCTTCTGACTGAACAGCAGTTGCTTTACTGATTGAGCCATTTCCCTAGCTCCAACACTCCTGATCTTTGACATTTTCCTGTGTAAACAAAGCGGGTCACTTACTTGCCTCAGGCCTGTGACCTCTGAGGGTTTCAGTGTCAGGCCTTGGAGAAACTATGTCCAGAAGAGACCCATTTATCAAGAGAAAAAAAATTATTTTCTGAATATCTGGCCCAACTTCTTCCCTTTCCTCTGTTTGCATCCTTCCTTGCTGACGTTCATCCTTCCAAACCAAGTATCTGGCCTGTCCCCTACTCTCTCCTGCAGAAGGTTCTCTCTTAGGCATCTCAAATATTCAGCACACATTTCTGAGGGCACTGACCTAGCCTTTCAGAGGTCAAGCACCTAGGCCCATAGGACTCAGACCAGAACTGGTGGGAGGATGAAAGGGAATCAGGGGGGAGTCTGATGTTCTAGACATGGTGGTGTGGGAAGCTGTTATCCTCCACTCTCCCTGATTAGGTTACAGGCAGACTTTGCTGCTCCCCAGCACACCACGTCCATGTTTGGGTTTTCTTTGTGTTTTTGAGGCAGCGTCTTGGTGTGTAACCCAGGCTGCCCTGCAACCTGCATCTATTAACCCTCCTGTTTCAGCCTCTGAAGCCGTGAAATCACAGGCATGTATCACCATGCCGGGCACGGGTTGCTGGTTTTGCTGAACAGGAAAGAACAAGAATTTGAAGCTAGCTTGTCTTGAGATACAACCCTGGCTGCTCTATACAGAGTTAATGACCAAGGGGCACCTTACCTAATTTCTGAGTGTGGTTACTTTGTTGCTAATGTATTCTTACCTGGTAGCTTTCTGTGGGTGGAGAGGCAGAAGCTATTAGCTACGGCTTTCAGCCTTTCCTTTGAGGCGGGGCTGACCCTAGTTAGCTAAGATTTAGACTTGATCTGGACCTTAGCAAGCCCATCAAAGGGCAAGTGTATTGAACCAGCCCCATTCCTGAGTCCAACCCCAACTACTGACAACTGGGTCTCTGTACAATGGCTTCAATGGAGAAGCCTGTAGCATGGGTACCTGAGCCCTAAGTATTTCCGACTTTAGAAATGTCTCCCATCAGCTGGGTGGTGGGGGTGGCATGTGCCTTTAAGTCCAGCACTCAAGAGGCAGAGGCATATGGATCTCTGAGTTCAAGGCCAGCCTAGTCTACAGAGCAAGTTCCAGGACAGCCAGCCAGTGCTGTTACACATTGAAAGTCTATCTCGAAAAATAATAAAACCCACCACCACCACCACCACCACCACCACCACCACCACCACCATAATAATAAAAAAAACAAAACTCCCTGCTCTCTCTCTCTCTCCTCTCTCTCTCTCTCTCTCTCTCTCTCTCTCTCTCTCTCTCTCTCTATCTTGTTATGCAAATGCAACTCTCTACTAGCTTGTTTTGTAGGAAGAGTTTGTTAAACTCAAATAAAAACTCCCGTGTGCGCTTTCTCTCTGAGCTCACACAGCCGCATCTACCAGCTATTCCATTTGGATGCCAAAAGTGAGCGAGCACTTCACCAAGGAGTCCTGGGCCCAAGGTCTTTATTGCACCTAAGTAGTTCTTTGTAGTTTGCTTCCTTCATAGGCTGTGGGTTCCTTCAGGGAGGTTATATTGAGTGACCATAGGACTTTATGGCGTAATTACATATGGAAATTGCACAGATCTTAAATGTATTGCTCAGTGGGTTTTAATGGCTTGTTCTCTATTGCTATAACTGAACACCCGAGAACAGAGCAATTTGTAAGCTTCCCTTCAGAGTTCATTTAACTCAAAGTTCTGAGGGATAGGACTCCAAGGGCACAGTGCCAGCATGTGCTTGGCACTGATGAGGGCCATCCTGCTGGGTCATGACATGGCCCAGAGCATCACGTGGTAAGATCCAGAAAACATGCCAGGGAGAGCCATTTCAAAGTAAAGCTATCCCTCTATAACCTATTAACTCCATAAATGGATGAGTTACTCCATTCCCAAGTGCAGAGGCCGTCAGATCCAAAGACTGCATCCTAAGAACCATTAATATGTATGAATTCCAAGAATCATTTAAACCATGTTATACTCAAACTCAGTATTTGGTTTCCCAAGTCACTTTTTTTTTTCAAGACTTTTTTCTTCCTCCCTCCTTTTCATCTTCTTTTCCTTCCTTCCTTTGTGATTTTATTGATTTTATTGAATAATTTTTAAAAACTTATTTTTATGCACAGGGATGTCTTTCCTGTGTGCCTGGTGTCCTCAGAGGCTAGAAGAGGACATCAGATCCTCTGGAATTAGAATTCAAGATGGCTTCGAGCCACTGTGTGGGTGCTGGAAACTGAACCCGAACCCGAGTCTTCTGGAAGAGCAGTCAGTACTTTTAATTGTTTTTGTTTTGTTTGTTTGTTTGTTTGGTTGGTTTTTTTTTTGGTTTTTCGAGACAGGGTTTCTCTGTGTAGCCCTGGCTGTCCTGGAACTCAGTCTGTAGACTAGGCTGGCCTCGAACTCAGAAATCCACCTGCCTCTGCCTCCCGAGTGCTGGGATCAAAGGCGTGCGCCACCACCGCCCGGCCCTTTTAATTGTTAAATCATCTCTTTGGCTCCTTGCTCTTTTAGTTTTTGAGATGGGATCTCATTGTTTCCCAGAGAGGCCTCAGACATGGCAATCCTCCAGTCTCAATCCCCCAATGCTGGCGTCATGAGCATGAACTGCCACACCCAGCTTTACTTTTAATTTCTTCCTTCTTGTTTATATGGGTTCTTTTTCTTTACTTAAATGCTTGACAAGAACAGTTTAAGGCAGATTGATGTTGGCTCATGGTTTGAGGTTAAAGTCCATCACCTACAGGAAGGCCTAGTGGCAAGATGACTGGCTCCGATGGCCGAGGTGTAAGGCATCATATGTAAAGTGGCGTAACGTGACAAGTTGTCATACTGTGCTCCAGTCAGGACATGGAGAAAAAGGAATGTCCGCTCTCAGAGTGTTTTCTCCTTTCTGTGCAGTCTGGAACCCCAGCCTGTGGGATGGTGCCACTCACATTTTTCAGGTCGCTTTTCTTCCCTCCGTGAAACCTCATTGAAAATACCCTCAAAGAGACACTCGAGTCTTTGCAATTCCAAATCCAGTAGCGGGTACCATGATTAACCACCACAGTGCGTGTGTTCGGCCACTGAGCTGGTTTCAACACCCTCAGATCTAAGTTGGTTTTTTTTTTTCTTTTAAACATTTTCAGAAATATTTACTTGTGTGCCTTTGTCCAATCTCCTTCCACCATGTGGGTTCCAGGGATT